CAGGAGCGTATTGTTCAATTTCCATGTGTTTGTGAAGTTTCTACAGTTTCCCATGCTATTGATCTCCAGCTTGACTGCACTATGATCTGATAATACAGGGGACAACCTCGATTCTTTTCCATTTATTCAGAGCTGTTCTGTGAGCTAGTATGTGAGCTATCTTGGAGAATGACCAATGTGCAGCTGAAAAGAATGTATATTCTGATTTTGTGGGATGGAACACTCTATAGATGTCTATTAAGTCCATGCGTTCAAAAGCTTGGTTGAGTTCTAGTATTTCCCTGTTGACTTTCTGCCTAGATGATCTGTCTATTTGTGATACCAGGGTATTTAGATCCCCCACTACAATTGTATTAGTGCCTATTTGGTTTTTCATGTTTCTTCGTATTTCTTTTATATAGTTGGGGGAATTAATATTTGGTGCATATATGTTTATGACTGTCATCTCTTCCTCTTGAATTGTTCCCTTTACAAGGATGTAGTGGCCTTCTTTTTCTCTCTTAATGAGTTTTGGTTTGAAATTTACTTTGTCTGTGATTAAGATAGCTACCCCTGCTTCTTTCTGGGTTCCTGTTGCATGGAGAATTGTTTTCCATCCTTTCACCTTCAGTCTATGGACTTCTTTTTGCACTAGGTGTATTTCTAGTATACAACATATTATTGGATTTTGCTTCTTAATCCATTCTGCCAGTCTGTTTCTCTTGATTGGTGAATTGAGGCCATTGACATTGATGGTTATAACTGATATGTACTGACTTATTATTGACACATTATTGGCCTTTTGTTGACTCTTTTTACTTTTTCATCCCCCCTCCTTTTAGTTTCTTGCTTTGACTATCTGGTTTGGTCTGTTGGGCCTCATGGTGTTGTGACCTTCATTGCCTTTTTCTAGGATATTGTTTAGAATTCCTCATAGTACTGGTTTGGTGTTCATGAAGTTTCTCAGGTGTTGTTTGTCATGGAAGTATCTTATTTCCCCATCCATTTTGAAAGAGAGTTTAAAGAGGATACATCAGTCTAGGTTGGAGGTTGTTTTCTTTTAGGACTTGAAATACCTCACTCCAGGCTCTCCTCGACCTGAGGGCTCATGTTGAAAAGTCTGGTGTGATTCTGATGGGCTTTCCTTTGCATGTAATTTGTTTCTTTTCTCTTACTGCTTGTAGTATTTTGTTTTTCTCTTGGGTTTCTGGGATCCTGATTATTATATGTCTAGGTGTAGATTTTTTTTTTTTATCGTGGCTAGTTGGAGTCCTATATGCCTCACTTATCTGTATGTCTAATTTTTCCCTTCTGTTTGGGATGTTTTCTGTCATTAATTATGTGAACAGCTTTTTTAAGTCATTTGTATTTTCTCCTGCTATTTCACTGATTTCTATCAGTCTTATGTTATTCTTCTTTGCATCATCTAGGAGTCATTGGATTGATTTCTCATGATCCCTTACTGTTTTTAAGAGATCTCTCTTTTCATAGTCACTGACTGCAATTCTATTTTCTACATCTGAGATTCTATCTTCACCTTCCTTTATTCTGTTGCATACACTTTCAATAGAGTTTTTAATCTCCTGGATATCTGAATTTGTTTTATGGATTCCATTTATTTCCTCTGTTGGGCATTCATTGTTTCCATTTCTTTCTTATGTTGGGCCTTCATGGCTTCTATCATGGTCCTGAGCTCATCTATTTTGTTCTCAGTTTCTGTTCTAGAATCTCAAATCATGACTTCCATTTTGCTCACCATCTCTATGGTTATCTGGGAAATTATTTCTGTTTTGAATTTTTCTAGAGCCTGATTGATCTGTTTTGTTACTTCCTGTGCTATGGGTTCAGGGTGTCCTGCTGGTTCACTATCAGACTTTTCCTCTTCATTTGCCCTACTGTTTGCCATTGGTGAACTGGAAGTCTTTGTCTCTTGCTTAAGTGTTTTCTCATTTTTATTTTTGTTGTTGGGTTGCCCTTGGTTTAATTTCTGGGTTATTACTTAAATATTCCTGATATAGTTGCGCTTTAGCTTTTGAATCTCTAATGACTCACAGACATTCTCATTTTCATAATATCGGAGAAAACAAGTCATTAAGTCAATCACAATCCTTTATCCCAGTTGATACAATCAGCTACACAATAGGATCAAGCACAACTTGCAAATTGACCATTTGTGGTAGTCATTAATCTATCACCTTTAAGCCATGTGAATTAAATTAAAGTCAAGAAGCAGCCCAAAATATGTTTGCAGTGAATACGCTTTTCAATACAGTATCTTTATCATTTTGGATGGGGGTTTAGACAGAGTTAGGATGACAGGAGTAGATAAGTGAAAGAATTGGAGAAGGTTTCAAGTGAAGCCAGAGGCCACAGAATGACCATACAATCTTTAGGAAATATTAAATTAAAAAAGGGATAGAGTGCAAGAGTAAGGACAAGAATATATCCCCTTAACAATAATAGGAGCTCACTTTCCCTTGAAACTACTGACCCACAAGTGAGGTGAAATGACAGAAGAAAACACAAAGAAAAAAGAAAAAGTCTGAGTTAGGGCAGGAGCAGGAACAGAAAGGGAGAAGAGGAATAATATGGTGGAGCAAGAGACTGAGTTGGAGAAAGAGGAGAGAAAAAAGAAAGAATTTGCAGAGTGGAATGAGGAAAACAAAAGAAAAAAAAAAAGAATTTCAAGGGCCTCTTTCAGACTATGTCTTTGCAGTCATAATATACCACATGCACAGCCACATGCAGCACCAAGTCCCCTGATCTCAGCTAGCCAATGGCAGATCCCACAACCCAGACTGACCTCAGACCGCAAAGCCCAGATTGAGTTCCCCAACCTCCTGCAGGGTTGAACTCCACACAGTTCTATTACAGGTTTCCCCCACCCTTTCTTTAAAGATGTTCAAAGTTGGGAGCTCAGGAAAATATCCTTTATGACCACTTATGCCTCTGCAGAGTGGGTCCAAGGACTGGCACAATCAGGAGGTCTGAGAGCAGGTGGGGGAGGGGGTGTTTCTGGGGCATCTTCCTTGCTGGAGCTGGTGGTGAAGCAGGCAGGGGAGGGTGCGGTTACCTGGTCCCACCAAACGGGCCCAAGTAGGCCGGAGGGACAGCAGATCTTGGAGCGGCCTTCCCAAATCCTGGAATTTTAGTTTTAACTTATGCTCCAGGTCTTGAGTAACCATCCGAATGCCGGCCGCTTGTGCTTCCAGATGGTCTCAGACACAGATTTCACCCTTAGAGAGCTCTGGAAGGAACGAAACAGTGTCCTCTCCTGTGTGGGGTTCACTGAGAGATCCTGGGCCTGCGTCTCTCTGAGGACCCTGAGATCTGCCTGGTGTGGCGAGAGGCTCTGAAGGCTGTGTAGGAGCCTGAGCCTCCATTGACCACCTTGAGCTGCAACCAGCTCTTGGGAGCAAACTGAGTTTCTAAGGTAGAAGCCCACTCTACTGGTATGGTTTTTCTTATAGTGCCTGCTATGTGCCAGGCACTGTTTTACTTTCACATATGCAGTTCTGGGAGAGAACTATGTACCTGCCCCCCTTTAGCAGACGAGGGACCAGGACCAGCCTCACTGCCTGGCAAATGCCGAGCAGCCTGACCCTCGGTCCACCGGCGGCTGGCCACTGTCTCACATGGTATGTTCACCTGCCAGCGACAGCCCGGAAACTCCTGCAGACAGAGGGAGTCCGTGTGGCTACTGAGACAGAGCAGACGGAAAGGAACAAGTTCTCCAGGAGCTCTCGCCTTCTCAATTACTCACCTCATAAAATCCTGTCAGGTCTTTCCCAACAGAACTCTAGGGAAAACTACTTAGAAATACACAAGAGGGCTGGGATTTGGCTCAGTGGTCCCAAGTTCGATCACTGGTACGAGGGGAAAAAATACACACACACACACACACACACACACACACACACACACACACACAAAGAAAAAGAGACACACACTGGGAATATCACTAACACCAGGTCCAAAGCTGTGGTGACGAGCTCAGAACCAACCTGTTGTGCAGAAGGAGGTGCTACTAAGTGGACAGGGCCCCTTCCCACTGCTCACGAGGCACCTAACACTACACACCAAGCCAAGGTGTCTGAGACAGGGGAACCACCCAAGACTTATAACAGGTGCAGCTTCTTATGCCTTCTTTGAATTAGAAGACCAAAAATGAACCTCAACTATCAATGAATGACTCTTTTTTTGTTAAAATACAGATCTTTAAAATATACTGCCATTAGAGAACTCTAAGTTTAGAAAAGGTAATACATTATCACAGACCTCCTTAATGACAGAGAAAAAACTAGTAGAAGGGAGAAGAATCACACACCCATGAAAGTGGATAATTTCCAGGAAATTCAGCAACTTTTAAAGGTGGTAATTCACAGGCGGGAAGCCTGTGGTGTGTCTACACATGATCAAAGTTTAAGAATTTCCTAAGTGTCTTTAGCCCTACCAGCTCTGCTTCATCTCCCACTTGAACAAGATACATAGAATGTCAAGGAGGGGCCACGGGGTTAGTTCAGTGGTTCCGCCACCTGACTCACAAGTGCAAGGACCTGAGTTTGATCCCCGGTACCAAAATAAAAGTCAAGGAATATGAACTTAACCAGAAGGACTTAAGCCTCAGGAAAAGTCAAGCTGAAGAACAATGATGAACACAAAGGCAGCGAAATTTAGGCCTCAAGATAAGTCATCCGTGTCTAGGCCTCTTTCAAAGCTTTGTTACAGCCAGTGTGGAGTCAAACACCAACACAGGGACACCCCCCATGTCTGAACAGTCCTGACACGTCTGCATCAAACCAGCAATCGAAGTCACTAAAAATACAGAACCAGCCTCAGAAAGAGGCTGGGCACAAAATCCTACCTAGATGCTAGCATGTGCTGATCTGTAATGTAACAGGAAGAAAACTGATCGTTAAACATAATTTTAAAATTAGCTAAGGACTTTTCAAAGTATGCAGAACAAATACATCACTTTTTAAACATATAAAACACATTGAAAGTAAAATTTACCACCTTACCTTAGTCCAAAGATGTGTGACTGTTCATAGTTGAATAAAGAATGAATCTTAGCTTCAGAATCCAAAATGATAAGTCGATCAATTATATCCTGAAGTAGAGAGACTGTGCTTTACTGAAACCATTCCAAAAAAAAAATCAATAAATATGCATTTGAATTTGTGATTTTCAGTTACATTTACACTGGAATTACCTGGGAAGCTGTTTTTTAAGAAAACCACAGATGTGTGGGGTCCCAGCCTTAGCAGTTCTGCACTACTGGGTCTGGGCGCAGCCTGGGATCATGAATGGAAATTTGTATAAATTCCTGAAGTTAACCTAACACTCAGCCAAAGATGAGGGCCACTAATTTAGACCCAACCTAGGAACAGGTAAGCAACTCCTACAGTTAGTAAAATTATGGTAAAACTGGCAAAAATGCAAACTACTCTGAAAAACACACCCAAAATCTAGAAATGCAGCACACAAACAATGGATCTGGTGCTTTTATCTAGGAGGTATGTGAGATTTTGATGATAAATACTCTCTGGCTCAAATGGTTGAATGTTGAGTTACTTGGGGACTTTACAAATACACCCTAAAGCCTAATTCTTCCTAAGGCCCACTCACTGCTCAGGGCTGAGCTCCCAAGACCCCAGGGTTACAGCAGCCTCCAGCCTCAAAGGCCAGGGCAGGCAGCACCCCTGCCACCCGCTGTGTCCAGCACCACAGCTCACTGCCACACGGTTCCCAGAACTAATGGCTACGCGCACGCCTTGCTGCGGGGGAGGCCTGAGACTCGTCCCTCCACTGCTCCTTTTCCTGCCCAAGAACACTGCTCGCCTCCAACTCCAGTCTTCTTTGACCAGAGGGGCAAAACACAGAAGGGCCGTCCTGGGAGCAGAGGTGGGACAGTTCACTGAGGACTTTGTGAATGACAGAAAGACCACCCGCCCAGCAAAGAGGAGGGGAGCCTGAACAGGAGGGAAATGCAGGTAACCCAAAAATCACGTGTGAGAATACTAACTAAAAAATGTGACTCAAGATCCTAACGGGACAATTAGCAACGTGAAATAGGAAGAAAAGGACCAAAGGTGTAGGGACAGTGAGAAGGATAGGGAAAGGGGAATAAGGGAAAAGGAAAAAAATATGAGAAAATGTAAAAATGGAATTAAAGCGTTTGAAGGTGAGGAGGGGAGAAGGGGGTGAAGGGAGGGGACAAGGGGAAAAAGAAAAAAAATGTGAAAACTGGGTTCCTGGATAAGCTAGCCCAGTAAAACCTGATCCTTTAGACAGGCACACACTTGCCATCCTACAGGCTCCCCAGGAGCAACAAGATGGCACTGGACACACGAGTTTAAATGGGCACTCATGAGCTCTGAGGAACAGGAAGAGGCCATCCCGCCTGAGGGCTCTGTCCTGTCTTCTGCTGCTGCCACTGTTACCCAAGGGGCTGCACAACCCACCCAGAGGCCCTGCTTCCTTCCCAACCTCAGCTCCAGGGCGACGCAGAGCAGCCCTCACTGCCCAGCACCCGGGACCGCTCAGCAAGCCGTCTGTGGGGATAGATGGCCAGGCTCGCTGTGTTCCCCAAACAGGGGACATTCTCTACTGACTAAGTCACGGTGGGTAAGAGCCAGGGTCATCCTCACAGAACAATCTGGAGCTGCTCCTGTACCGCCAGACCTCTCCCTGAACAGAGGCTGCAGAGCCGAGCCAGCAGGATGGGAAGGCTCACCACAGAGGTCCCACCGCGGGGGTCAGAGCAACTGCGCCCACCCCTCTTTCCCCACAGGAGCCAGGCTCAGACCACTGACAGCAGGGCCAGCCCAGGTCTGCATCTAAGCGTCTGCAGGGGCGAAGATGCTGGAAAGAGCCTGTGTTACCCACAAGCCAGTGGGGGAGCAGGCCGCAGCCACCGTCAGCCATGAGGCACTGTCCGGGCAAAGGCAACAGTGTAGTTTCTTCCTGAATGAGGATCACAGTGACCCACGGCCACCTGGGAAGCTGCTTGTGGGGCACTGCGGTACCCAAACACCGCACACGTGCAAGGGAAGCGGCGTCCTAGGTCTGGTGGCAGCTTCCCAGCAACCAGCCAGGGAGAGCAAGGCCTGGGCCTTGTAGAGAGCAGCGGAGCCCAGTTCGTTCCCAGCTTACTGTCTGGTCTGAGAACAAGCTCTGTGCACTGTGGCCAGCCTGAGCCCCAGGATGAGCGCCTGGCCATGTCCCACTGTCCCCAGACTTCCCCCCCTCCTTCCCAGGAGCACTGGAGCAGAGCGACAGCACGGTGACCATTAAGGCTCACCTTAGGGCTTTTCCAAAGGTGAGGGCAGGGGAGGGCAGGAAAGCCAGGCTCCTGCATGGGGTGCAGCCTGGTAACCATGTCCATACCTGCTGCCCAAGGCCTGCAGCTGCCGTCCTGTGCCACGCAGTCTTTGCAGAGGTGATTGAGACTCTTCTCTTTCCACTGATGAGGACGGAGCCCAGGGCCTCCACCCCACCAGCTCTGCTGTACGCTCAGCCTTTGTTTTTATTTTGAGACAGGGCCACACTAAATCACTAAGTTGCCCACACTGGGCTTAAAGCTTGTGAACCTAATGTAAATTCCACCTGGATTATCCAGACAGACCCAAAGTCCAAGAGAAGCACCCTCAGAAGAGAAACATGAAGACACTGAAGACGGAGGAGAGGGGTGGTCTTGGGAGCACAAAGGCGGAACCAAGTTACACAGCAACAAGATGTGAAACCAAAGCTGTAGAGGTGGAAGGGTCTGTCCTGGCGCCCGTGCGCTGAGCACTCCAGTCTCAGGCTGTGTCAAGGAGAGCAGTAGGGAGGCCCCTCAGGGAGGGAGGGCTCTGCCTGAGGCAGCCCCAGCAGGGGAGAGGTCAGCCTTCCACAGTGCCAACTCAGCTCATTTAACCCTCCAGCTACTTGTGATAAGAACAGCGCCACTCTCCTTTCGAACCATTCTGTGGAAGTCCCATGCATATTTCATACATGCAGCGTGATGACTCCGGAGACACCTGTGAAGCCACAGGCACAATGTATGCAGTAACCTTCTCCATACACCCCAAAACCCACCTCCCGCTTCACTGTAGCTTGTGATGGGGATGCCAGATACACCTGCTGGAGGAGCCGAGACGGGGGACGCAAGCTTGAAGCTGGCCCAGAGACTAGAGACCCGTCTCAAAATCAAATGAGAAAGTGGCACAGCATTTGCCTGGCGTGAACAAGTCTGTGGGTCCTGCCTTCATGGGGGGCGGACAGGCAGGCGGAGGGGAGGGGAGGGAGAGGGGAGAAGAGGGAGAGGGAGAGGAGAGGGAACCTACCGCCTGGGCCAACTGGAAGCACGTGGCACTGTTAGCTACTGGCACAGCGCTGTGAGCTGCAGGGCTTGGGTACCCTGTGTAAGCAACCTCCGTGCCCTGAATGCCAGCTGCCGTCTTTCCCCTCTTGCCTCCCCCAGCCCAGCAACCAGCACGCCACTCCTTGCTCCCTTCCATGTGACTTTTCAGACTCATCACTAAGCGATGGCACCTGACACACAGACTTCGGGTCTCCTCAGAACTCTTAGCCGTCTGCCCTCTCTCCTCCATTGACAAATCGTGAGCCCTGGAGTCTGCACACGCCACACGGAGGGGTCTTCACCTCCTGCCATGTTGGGCCGCCTTCCCCTCCACGAGGCCTACCTCTCCGTTACATAGCATTGCTTTCATTTTGCTTTTCAAATGATTTATACTTTGGCTCAAGAGAAACTATGCACAAGAGAAACTGAGATATTTCACCTTCAGAGTAGGATTTGTCTCAGTAATTAGCATCGTGGTCTCATGTGACATCCATTTTCCTATGATTGACTCAAATTCAGCCTTTTCAAAAAAACATACCCTTCCTTCCGCTGAGTAGGGTTCCACTGTGCACATGAGCTGCATTACCACGTCCTGGGGGGCACACAGGGTGCTACCATCCACGTGGTGTGCGTGGATCCCGCCATACAGACTTTAGCTCTGAGAGAGATTCCCACAAGGCAAACAGCGGGGCCAAATGGAATGCCTGGTTCTGGTTTTTTTGAAGAATCTCCATACCGATCCTCTTAGTGGCTGTGCTGGTTTATATTCCCAAAAACAATATCAAAGGACCCCCGCCACACACACACACACACAATTTCACCATGATTTATAGTTTTTTGAGTCCTTGATAACCCTTCTTTCTAGAGTAAGAAGGAAATCTCAAAGTTGATTTAATCTGCAGGTCTGTAATGATCAAAGGTGCTGAATATTTTTTATATACGTACTACAAATATGTACTTCTTCTTTCAAGAAATATAAATGCATTCGAACTGCCTCTTTTTACTGCTCATTTACTGGGGAGGGTCTAATTACCTGAGTTCTAAATACCAGGCCCCTGTCTGAAAAGCAGTTGGTAAATTTATTCCCCATCCTGTGTGTTGCCTCTTCACTATGCTGGTTGCTTCCTTTGCTGTGCAGAGGCTTTGCAATATGACTCAATCCCAGCTGTTGATTTCTGGTATTATTTCCTATATAACTAAGGGCACAATGAGAAAGCCTTCACTTATGCCTGTGTCTTCAAGAGTTTTACCTTCCAGATTCACTGTTCCTGATTGAATGCATTGGATTAAACATATACATCCAAAAGGCAGATTCATAACAGTAACAGAGACAGCAAGGGTATTTAAGCCTCCCTTTTAGAGAGAACTAGTGCACCAATTCATTATTCTAAAAATATATCAACAGTCAAGAGTTTATTTTGCTTTTCCTAAAAATAACTGTTTCAAGGTTATTTTTATTAATTTTTACTAAAGAATTCAATTAAATAGAAAAAGAATGGCAGGATTGGAGCTGTCATTTCACACACATGTGCACACATGCACACACACACACTCAGGTTCCTCAGGACAGTTTGCTAGAGCTCCTCCCATGAGACACCATGCAAGACAATGGGGATGGAACTCACCAAGTTAGAGCTCTGCCTGAATCACTGTCTGGGAGTCGAACCTGTTAGAACCTGGGAGCCCAGCATGCTCAGAGTTGCCAGGTTCACCTGGTTAGTCCTGAGGAGACCCAGCTCTGCCCACGGGACTCCAGGCCACAAGCAAGTCAGCAGGTGTACAGGGACTGAGAGGGCATTTGTCAGCGTGAGAGGAACCAGGACCAGAGAGGTGGCCAAGGGCAGAGGCCTGGGGTCAGAGAGGTCAGAACTCCCTCCCAAGGGCCTATGATTTAAGGAAGTGAATAGGGGAGACAGGGACCCCAGGGAACGAGGCCCAGAGACCCAGAGATCCGCAGCAACCTGAAACAACAGAACCACCGTTCACAGCTGGTTTCCCTTCTTACACACCATTCTGGTGCAGTAAGGCCCACTGAGAGCTTGATGCTGAAAGAAAAAGCACTGAGGGTCTCCCTGAAGAGATCTAGACAAGAGACAAGGTCTGTGCAGAGGAGCTCTCCAAGAGAGGGACAAACGCGCTAAGGCACTTGGCCTGCGGAGGGACCGGCAGCAGAAGACAGCGCAAGAGAAGCGGACTCAACTGGCACAGGAAAGAAAATCAGTGCATCAGCTGCGGAAACTCTAAGGCTAAATCGCTCTCTAGTGCCCACTCTCCACTGGGAACCTCGGGACAGATCTTCAGGAAAGAGGTGACAGCACACACAGCTTCCTGTGCCCAGGAAAGGCCAGGAACTGGAAGAGGTCACTGCAGATGAAAGATGCCAGAGTCCAGGACAGACCAGGGAGAGCCAGAGGCACACAGTACCACAACCCTGGGACAAGGGATGACAATAACGAGTGGCTCACCATGCAGTGGCACACGCCTGTAAGCCCAGCACACAGGAGGCTGAGGCAGGAGGAATGCTGTGAGCTCAAGGCCAGCCTGAACTACACAGCGAGACCCTGCCTCAAAACAACAAGAACACAAAGGAATGCAGAGGTTAACCAAGTTGGTTGGTAGGACAGCCTACACACGTTCTGGGACTGACAGGAAGCAGTCACAGGTTGAAGTGCAACGCAGCACTGATGGCCATTAAATGTCTGAAGCATAAACAGAAGAACCTTGGCTAAGTGAAAAGAGACCCTGAGCACACATCAGGCTTGAGACAGAAACGGAGGCTTGAGAAAGCACACACCCAAGCCACTGTTCCAGATTAGTAACACTCAGTTATGCTGTTTTCCACGCTCCTTTCTGTAAACCAACAATGGGCATCAGGATTATTTTCTATAGTCATTCACCGGGAACCGGGATGCTACAGACACCCCAACACCCTTCTGTCCTTGTGGGAGACATGGGCACAGCCCCGACGAGCTACTACCAACTAACTAACTAGTCCAGACACCTGGGGGGGGAACTAAGCAGAAGACACACAACTGCAAGACCTGGAGAAAACTGAGAGAGAAGAAAAAAAGAAAACTGAGAGACTCTAGGCTAAAAGTTTAGTAATGGAAGTACCCAGCTCTATATATTTCACTCCATGTCACCATAAATTTCCCAAAGTCAAACAAGACTTTAAAAATTCAAACATTTAGGGTTAGCATGGGTTAAAAGTATTGAAAAGACAAAAACTATGTTTGTAAAAACAGCAATACACAGAAAAGTGACTAGAAAAAACTCATTATTAATAAGGAATAGCAGTATCAAATGATTCTTTACTAACCCAATATGCATACATACGAGCTCCTGCATGTTTAATTCATGGACTTACCCAAGGATAGGGAAGCAAACATCTCCTATAAAGGTTTATCAAAGTTAATCATCTGGATAACTTTATAGTGTGAAACAAGCCTCAGACTAAACAAATACAGCAGGTCTACACTGCCCTCGCGGGGCAGTAATATACAGCTCATTAAAACAAAATATGCAGAACTCCTCTGACATAAACATCCTTCAGTGAAGCTGCCCGCGGGAGAGCAGCCCTGCTGCCATAACTGCACTGGGTGAGCCACGGCCTCCGGAGGGGCGTGGCTAGAGAGCAGCACTTGAGCCCGGGATGAGGGACTGCCCGATGGTCCAGAGCAAACGCCCTCCCATTCAGGGGATTCCAGACTTGATAATGATAGATTTAAAAACCTTTCAACCTCTAGAGGCTACAGGAGACTGTTTGGTCAAGACACATTTTACTCCCGATCTCAGAGTCGACATTGATAAACAGGCAAACGGGAAGCAAGAACTTACTGTGACAGAGGTGGGGACCTCGCGGAGAGAGTACTCTGCTCTGCTGGGAAGGTCTCGGTGGCCCAGCAGCTCATACACAGCAGCGGAGGACAGCAAGCTCACCAGCGCTAGGAAAGACTGGGGGAGAGGAGAGGACCACGTGACTCCTGTGCCGGGGAGCAGGGCCCACCGAGACCTTACCGCGGTGGCTGGCAGGGCTAGGAGTAATGAGTCCAATCAATCAGTCCATCCATCGGCGTGGATCCGACACAGAGAGCAAGTGCAAGGCCGTGAAGAGCGGCCCGGAGAATGCCCCAGCACCGCGTGACTACTGCTACATAGCGGGTGTGGACATGAGAGTCCGGAAACGTTTCCAAGTGCTGTGCAGCTCTTGACAACTTTGCTTCTGACAAAAAACGGGGAAGGCAGGGAGGGTGGGAGGATCCCTTCTTACCCTCTGTACTATCAGATCTTATATGTGTACGAAATACAAGAGTGACACTTTGGGACTCTAGGGCAAGATAATAAGTTCTACATATTCCTGCCTGAGGACATCAGATTATCTTTCATAGATTCACTGCAAATGCCACTAACCTAGATATTATTGTTCATTTTAAAAAGCTACAGATTTTACCACCCAAACTGGCTCATTTTTCCTGGCATAATCTTAGCAAGTCACTCCACATGGATGCAGAGCTCCAGCCCTCGCTCCACCTGCCCACAGGGCCCGGACTCCCATGCTCAGCCCACCGTCCCCTGGCTGCCCACGCTGCGGAGCGTAACGGAGTCCGTGTCCCTCGAAGAGCCGTGGCCTTCAGGGTTCACACTCACACCCCTCTCTTCCACCCCCAGTTCCAAAGCAGTAAGCCACCCACAATGGCGGCCTGTGGCCTCCTCCAACTGCCAGCCTTACCCTACTAGCAGCTCCTCCTGTATTCCCACCTCACCAACTTTTCAAAAGTTTTCCACTGTGTCTTTTCAATTCCAGTTAACTCCATTGACCTCTAAGAGCTCTGTATTCTACCTAAGCTTTATCTTCAGCTACATCGTATTAATTCATTTGTAACTACTAAGTATTTTGCTTTTTCAAATTTTTAAAAAAACTACTAGTCTCAGAAAATTTTCAGATCAGACAAATTAGACTATTCACTAGAATCAGAAAACTGAAATTTGGGCGGGGCATGGTGGTGCACACACCTGTAATCCCAGAGATCAGAAGGCTGAGGCAGGATGACTGCCACAAATTCAAGGCCAGCCTGGGCTACACAGTGAGTACAAGGCCAGTCTGAACTGTGTTAATAAGACCTTGCCTCAAAAAAAAAAAAATTGAAATTTGAGAAAATTAAAAAGAATATTTAATTCCTTCTTTGATTAACTGATGGGAAAAACTCATGTCCAGGCAATTAACGTGACTTGGTTGATCAATTATCAGAAAGTTGGCAGCAGAACTAATCTGTATTTTCTTATTTTCAGGCTAAGCTTAGTGCTTACAAATCAGGCCATTACCTTTGGCTCCTACTTCAGTGAACCTTGTTCTGTAGCTCTCACCTGAGAACCTGGAAACTAGAGTCCCTTTTGTATCTCCTTCCATAATGTAAATGCCGTGTGATTTAACCAACAGTGAGCGATGGCCGATGTGTTTCTTACACAGTGACTTGTAACAAAAGCAATGCTGGATAGAAGGTGGACTGTCATTACCTTTGCTTTAAGTGCCCACATTTTCCTCCAGAACTCAATAGTCCTTACAATGAAGATGGAAGTTCTGGCCTACTCTAAAAATATAACTTACACATGAAAGCAAGTCTCTGGATGACTAAACTTATCAAAGAGTAACAACTCAATAAATGAATGACCTGGTTGCCATCTCCAATCTGATGCCCATCTAAGAGAAGGCGACTTTAGAAGGAGAGGAGCAATGGATCCCGTGGCCATCAGGGAGAATGTGTACTGCTGCGGGGAACACAGGCTCACAGCCACCCTGGGAGCCCCTGCACTGGTCAGTCACCAACCGCCAGCGGTGGACTAGAAAAGTGGTTAAACAGACTGCAATATGGTTTTACTTCAACCCAATTTGTCATGGGAATGAAGACAGGCTAAACAGCACAAGCTAACAATGCTTTATAATTTGAATACGCAAATTTTCACAGTGTTTTTCATGTTAATGCAGCAGTGTTTAGAGATCATGTGCCCCTTCTTTTATGTTTAAAATGACTTTCTACATGTGGCAATGGAAAAGTATTAAAAATAAATTTTTATAGATCTGTATTTGATGGAAAAAGATATATGGTCTTTACAAGTCACATGTATAATAACACATCGAGGGGCTTTGTGTCACTGAGCTACGAACAATTCTGCATTTATGGACTCTCCCGCTCAGAACACAATGTGGACACGTGCCCTTGTGGGAACGCCGACGTGCTGCCCCAAGCAAATTAAACAGAACTCTGGGTGAAAACAACTCAACAATAATGAATTGATCCGACACAGAAATAACCTGAATAGAATTTTAGAGAAACTTCAGGAGGTCTCGGCAACTTGTCTCTAGAAGAAAACATACCCGTTTCACACACAACAGGCATTCTACAGACACTGGCGAAGGCAAATCCACACTGTACTGAATCAATCAGCGGCCCCACAAAACACACGTAAGGTGCTGCTAACATCAGAGACTAATTATATTAACGTTCCCATGAAAAGCACAAAGCCTAACATATGGTCACAAAACATAAATTTACTTACCAGTGTTCTCAAAAACAGATTGAGTTTTATGAAATAATAAGAAAACGAACAAATAGAAAGTCAAATGTAATATATTTTAAGATCAAAGCATCAAACTAATTCGCTGAAGCCACCAATTTTCTTAAGAATGAAAAATCTTCCTGACTGATAATGACCATCTATTCATTCATTTATTCAACATGTTTTAATACCAGCTGCTTATCAGTACTTGCGCCAGATGCTAAAAATTTTAAAATGAGAGTCATGGTGGGCGCCCACCCCCCGGGGGTGGACAAACCCACTATGAGATCGTTTGGACCAATACCCTGCACTTCCCTGCAATGCAGAGGGAGGGAAAGACCCAGCAGGCAGGTGAGGGACAGAGGCCCAGGAAGGACACAGGAGAAGATGCAGCCGGGGAGCCAGGTCAAGCTCGTCAGAGCATCCCACATACACCTGCGGGAAAAGTCATTTCCTAATGAAAGGGCGACTCCGGCTGTCTCAGGCCAGCGTCACCTCGCCCGCAGCCAGCTCCCAGCCTTCGTCACAGCTGGGCCTCAATGGTCCTGTGATACTGTGACGCTCAGGGCAAGTGGACACTAAAGCACCAAGTAGTAATTTAAAAAAAGGGAAAGGTTTCACCCCAGGAAAGAACAATTTCGTTCTTGGCCTGCTATCTCACCCCGCCTACTAAGAACTTAGGTCCTGAGGAAGACCTAATACCCTCACCTCCATGGGGTCTCTGATGCTCCACCAGTCACTGTGTGTACGACATACATGGTGGCCAGCTCAGAGAGGCCTCGTCTGCCCACTCTGAGGCCCTGACTCCCTGACCCTATGTACTCTGAAATTATGCAGGTCTCTGTTCTTTTATTCTTTAGCCCTCGCCGTCCCCCTTTCTAGGCAGTCGGAGAACTGATTGCCCTCCGATAAGCTCTGTCTTTTTCTAGGAAAAGAGTGTTTTCCAAGAAGTGGTGCCAATTATATCCTACTCTTTAGACAGAATGCATAGTAACGTAGATTTTGTGGGAGATGAAATGGTGGGATGAAAACCAAATTTGGATTTGAAAGTATCAAGACTCATACAGAGCTCCTGTACCTGCCTTGCCAGAGCACCACGGGGCTGGGGCTGCCACCTGCCTCGCAATCACAAGTACCGAGTTCCGTCCGTGGTACCAAAGAGAAAAAACAGACACACACACACCGCGGACAGAGCTGAGGGACAGCGGCTCTGACGGCCAGGGCTGGAGTGCAGTGACCGTGCTGGACTTGAACTGCAGCCGCTGACCCATGGACAGGTGCCCGTAGGGGTGGGAGGGTCTGGTTCGGCAGTCTGGGGTTGGTGCAGTTTCAGGGTGCTCTCTGCAGATGCCCCACTTCCCAGCCCACTGAGGCCCTCCCCGGTCCCGGGACAGGTTTCAGGGCTGTCCTCACAAAAAACGCTTTTAAATCCAGAACATCAAGCAGCACCGTTCTCTTCATCCATACACAGACTCTCTTCTATTCATGACCTATTTTTGGTGATTACAGTACTCTCACCCACTTCCTTTTTAAATTGTTTTTCTAAAATTTGTATTTTCTACAGAAGTGAACTAGTTCAACTGTTCCAGAATGAGGAACTATGAAATGTTGGGTTTTTTCTTTTTAAAAAATTATGAACTCTTGAAGAAAAGGCCCACACTACTATAAAGTCAAAGTTAGAAATCATCACTTTATTACGGTGAAATCCAGAAAAAATGCTGAAGATATATAAGCCCTTACATTGTAACTAAAGATTATGTGGGTGCTTAGAAAAATTTCAGGTGCATTATTCCAAATGATATTATCTTTCCTCTCCCAGAGCCTCACGATATTCTATTAGATTCAAGCACAAGGACAAAAAGCTACCCGCATTTTTGTTTTCGTTCACTGGTTTTGTTTGGTTCAGGGATCTGTTTTTTCTAATATGTCTTGTAAGCTATTACCATACTCTTTATCACGGGAGAAAAACTAATAAAAATACTGCGAAAGACAAGCGTCCTGTAAAATACTCCCAAGGAACACTGGTATTTCCATTGTTCATTAAATTGATTTGAAAAAAATGAGAAAAATTAAAATTAACAAAGGCGGCAGTTAGGAGAGGGACAAGGCCGGGACAGGCCGTTCCCACGGGGTGTGTCACGCCTGCGTCACCGCGTCACGTCCACACTCCCCTGTGACCCTCACCTTCTGACAGCGGCGGTCGATCGGCTCCACCGGCGTAGGCCCGGGGTAGGTGACCCTCGCGTCGTCTCCGCCACACTCCAGACTGGACCACAGTCCGGCGACAAGGGCCCTGACGAAGCCTGGGGAAGAGCTCGCGTCACACACACACGGCAGAATCCCTGTGGATCGCGGCACAAAGGCCAAGTTCTCCCTGCGAAAACGCCCGTCCCAGGCGCTTGCGCGAGAAACCCTTTGTGTGAATAACGCTGCTATGGCTCTGTGATCCCCCTCACCATGAAACCCTAGGGGCAAACCGGAGAGCCCTTCCCTGGAGTGCTGTAATTCCAGAGCAGGATTTATCCTTGGCCAACAGCTTCTGTGAGTTTTGCTAAAAAACAGTAAAGTTTACATTGTGCTCTGCAATGGGTCAGCAGCAGAGGCATCGTGAGTGGTGGGGCTGTGTGCCGTGGGGGGCGCATCAGGAAGTGGGGTGTGTCCACACACACACACACACTTCCACACGCTCAGCACGACCTCTGCTTCGGTAAGGTCTCACGAGTCAAGGGCCACACCCATCAGTGAACACAAGCATTCACCCTGACTATTGAATTCCTCTTTGAAAAAAATCAAATCACACACAAAAGTGTAAAAATGTAACATCCAGTCATAAAATCGGGAAGTTCACAATAATATTTGAAAAATAATACCTGGTATGATAGAAAAATAAAGACCCTGAACTACAGGGGTTCAAATTCTACATTTTTCAACCTATCAACTGCATAACTTTGAAAAGTGAAAAACTACAGGGCTGCTACCAAATACATGGGGTGCTGCTTGTAAATGTCCTCTTGCTATGCAAGACATCATCACACAACGTCTTTGCCTTCTGGCCTATGGAAAGCCACATTTAACCACCTTGGGCAAGTTTCGGCAGTGTGAGAAAGCTTAGCGCCTTCACCAAGCAAACGATCTGAGGTTCGAACTAGTCTGCAAGCGCTTTGATTATGTTATTCTAAGTAGAAGGAAAAGAAGTCCTTCAGTCTAGGGAAAGTTTTGCCACAAAACATGTTTCATTATACAAGTAGTTCAAATTAGTTCAGCCACAAATTAAATTTAAGACACAATACAGAAAAATACTCTCATTTACAGAGAGAAACAGTAGTGCCCACCTAGGCTGCTGGGCTTCTGCATTTAATCAATCCCACACCTCTGAGAGCAAGGGCACCCTGGACAACGCCCAGTCAGCCTTCACATGTGGCCCGTTCACCCCGCTTTGAGCATCTTAAACCCATCCAACTGCGGACACTGCAAAGCCACTGTGAAAACCAAGTCCGTCAGGGAGAAGGAAAGGGACGGAGGAAGGTGATGCATATACAAGGCCACTACTGTGGGGTCGAGTCTGACACTCAGGCCACCGAGAGGAGGCGCTGTGGAGGCGGGATGAAGGAGGGGCCTCTCCAGCCTCGCTGGCGCCTCTGCTTCCCCATGCGCCATGCTGCAGGGCAGGGAAACCCCACGGGGGAAAACCCCAGCGGGGCTGTGTGAAAGGCAAAGGCAGAGACAAAACTTTGTAACTTTCTTCTGCACAAGCTTTAGCCTCAGTCAAAGAGCGTGAGATTAAATACCTCATACTTCATGGTGCCAGGTAAACTTTCCATTGTCTGCTTGTTTCGCTTTACTTTTAAATACGAGAAAACACTTACCTGAGTCTCGTAGCATGGCTGCACCTGCTGCTGTGGACGCCACCTGCGTAGCTAAAACTCCATAGTCCACCTCCTTCCTCCTGCTGACCTAACATCGGTGAGGGACAGAAAACCGCACGCTGCGTCATCCATCTTGTTTTAGTCACTGCCACTCTCAGATTAGAATAGTAGACATTCTCTAAGACAATAACCGCAGCAGCAGAGACAAACTAAGACACTAATAACCACCAAGTGTGCACAAATGTGGCATTTTTGACAATCTTATTTCAGGTCCTAGTTCTGACCTTGAGCAAAGCCACTTATGTCTCTGGGCCCAGCTCTGCTCACATATAAAACAGGGGACTGGGACAAGGTGAGAAGTAAGGCTGCTTCCAACTCTAAATGTTATTATCCTATTACTGCTTTTTAGGTTGGTTCCTCTTCCGCTCAATTCATCATTAATAAATCTCCATTGAACGCCAGTTTCTTAACTGAATTTTCAACTAATCAAACAATTTTTTAAAATAATAATGGTTTCTTCTCAAAGTGACTATTTTTTGTTTTGTTTTGATTTTTGGTACCAGAAATCAAACTCTGGTACTTGCCCATGCGACACAGGCAGCAGCACCACTCAGCTTAATCCTGGCCCAAAATGACTATTTTTAGAAGGCATGTTCCTAAGGTAGGGAACAGTGTGTGTGTGTGTGTGTGTGTGTGTGTGTGTGTGTCACACACACAGAATCCTAGCTATTAATATACCAGATTGCATGAGCATTGTAAAAAATCTGAGCATGCTCTTTGATGAAGAAAGCTGTTTTGTGTTCAGAGTGAAGTACAGAAGTCAGTGGTCTCTTAGCATGAACCACAACAGAGAAACAGACGCAGGCCCCGGAACCTCTCCTCTCACCCTGGCCAGCACCACTCGGGCTTACACAATGTTTGGCTTCCACACAGAAGGAACTGTTCGGGACTCATATGTTTTTCAACATTTTATTAAAAATATCCGTTTTAACCTCCACTTTAAAAAATATATTCATTTGGTGGGCAAAAAAGTAACTAAAGAAGAACTTAATTCCATGAGGGAAATTTAAGTTTATTTCTTTGATTTTTGTGTTGCTGTGTCTTTTATAAGTTTATCCTCCTTTTCTATCCTATTGGTTATCCTTCCCACTGTCTTCATTCACAACCCACTGTTCTGCGGCTGCACCGCACAGTCCAGCCTTCGGCCCACCTGCCTTCCTTGCCAGTCTGTCCGCCGGGCCTGGTGACTCAGCCATGGGCCACGGGGCTGCTGGCTCACACTACCATGGGCGGACAGAGGAAATGGGCAGAGCAGTCAGAGGTGCTCACAAAACAAACGCAGACGCTGCCAAAGACAGCAAGGAACCAGAGCTCCAGTCTCTCTGCAGTGAGTGACTAGCTTGACAGACCATCTGAGTGTCCTCTTTCTCTTCTGAAGAATTAAAGAAATGACCTTGCCTCCTGCTTCACTGCCAAACAACTGAGAATCTAAATAAAGAAAATCCGCTAATAGGGCAGAGTGCCACAGCGTACCCTAATTTCCACAATGACAACGGTAAGAAACTAAGCTGTAAGCTGCAAGCTGCTGTGCTCCGGGGAACAGTGTCGTCCACGAAGACCACGTTGTGACACAGACCCGGGCCGGGCTGTTCCAAAATGCGGGGAAATAAAAAACGGCATCTCAGCTGAGGTGCGCCAGCTCTCCAGCAAAAGCTGGGGCTGCACGGTCTGAAGCCCTGGACGGAAGAAGAAAACCACCTGTGAACGTCTTCCACGTTTCGAAACTATCAAAACAAACACCTAAATCCTTAATGAGTATACAAGGCAACTGCAAACTCACCTGCAAGAAAGCCAACCCAACCTTTGGTCAACCTGAGGACAATCTGAAGGCTCTAAGTGAAGGACTCCTACCCAAAGGCACTGCACACACCCTACAGTGAGACGCAGAAGCCCAGGGAAGACAGATGTACAGGGAGAAAGCAGCCACTAATCGGGAGCAGCACTGGGACGGAATGAAAGGCATCAGAGGAGTCATCAACAGACGGACATGCAGAACACACCATGAACCAAGGTCCAAGGTGGCTCAGGCCCTACACTCCAGGTCAACTTTGACAACACCAAAGGAAAGCACACACCCAGACCACTAGTCCAGTGTCACAACCGGCAGCTAACCGAGACACACTCTTCACGAAAGAATGGTGAGGATCTCGCTTAAGAACACTGTTTCTCACAGGCAGAAACAAAAAAAGGCTGAATTATTTGTGTTCTTATAAGCTTACACAAGAGTAGGAAATTAGAATTAAAGAAAGCAAAAGGAAGGAACAGAGCACTTGCCAACAGGCAACCTAATGACCTGAAAACGCACCAGCTGCCATAGATGAGGCGAACGAAACCCACTTCTGAAGGACAGGCCAAGGCCAAGGCCAAGGATGGACAAAACACTTCTGCTATCCTCAACCTTCCCGCTTTCCCTCACCTCCTCCCCCGCTGCGCCATCTGACATACGTTTAACACCCTGCAGGACTGACTCCCCTTCTTACTTTTATGTTTGAAAGTTCTTTTAATTAGATGCATCTACAGATGTTTTTCGGGTAATATTGATGTTAATGTGGTTAAATTACTCTAAAGTCAAATTTTTAAAAAACATACTTAGGACCCTAAAACAATTCAGAAGACTAGAGATATTTATTTTGATAAAAAGGACTGAATACAACTTAATGGCTCTGCCTATCTAATGAAAGGCTAAATTATATTATAAATTTTATTTAACAGTAAAATATAGTTTCTCTACAAAGTTTCACTTCTTTTAAAACACAGAAGCTTAAATCTTTATTGATACATACATTTAGACCCAATAAGTTTTGTTTTCCTGAAGTTCCACCCAGTGTAAGTACATCCAGATGTTTGATATCATATTTACAAAACATCTGGATGATTAACTGTGTAAACACAGCTACACCAATATCAAGGCTCTAATGTTTTCCTAAAAAAAAAAAAAAAACTCAAGTATCACAATGCTATATGGCTTAATTGAGGCTTAATAACTTCTGCATGCACACAAAACAGAATGATGCACAAAACGGCTTTCATGACAGCAAATGCTCCTTTTGCCAACAGCAGGTGGTAATTCATACCTGTAAATTTCTGGCATATTGGTTGGACATAAATGTCACACATTCATTGATTACACCTGTTCTTTGAAGGAGTAGTAATCCTTTTGGGGTAGCAGCAAAATTTAGTAAATCATCCAACAAATTCTCTTCCCAAGCCACACTGAAACAGGTAAAAGCAGGGGAGGACTTATTTTAACATGCTCAAAGCTGTGTGAAAAATGTTGCAGCTTTATACTTCCAGTAATTAAATTTGCAGACAACACACTGACTGTCACCTATTCATAAGATTTTAAAATAAGATTTAAAAATTGCACTCTTTGATGGTAAATTCCTTTCTTCTTATATCTTCTGTTTGAATAATACTCCTTCATTGAGGGAAACAAGTATTAACTGCATTTTGCAATATCTTATTACACCTCCTCTCCTGCAAGCTTTACGTCTATTTTAATTTTCTAGCATTATCCTGTTTGCCTGGATTCTCCGATTATCGACTTTCCATTGTTTCTGTATTTTCTTTCATTGTACAATATGTTTTCCAACTTTCTAAACCATGTTATTTCCGTGGGATTTTATATTTCACTTTAGGAAAATGACATCACTTTTTTTCTCAGAACACAAATATAAAGAAGACCAACATCTTTCTCCAGAGAAAAAAATTGGAGTCCCAAGAGAATAAAAAGAATATTTGAAAAGCACTATACTCAATATATTCTATTATTAGTCAATTAAACAATTTTTAAAATCTTCTAGAAATTGAGGAAAGATACCATTATGATGTCATTCAAAGAACCATTAGGATAAATTCAGAGAGATACAGCAAACATCAAAATAACTACCAAAATGCATGAGGCACCATAAAAAAAGGAATAAATAGAAGGACACATAGTTATGCTGACAACAGATTTATCAGTTACCATCTATTCCAGAAGCCAACAGAGTAATAGCTTCAAATATTGGTGAAAAACAACTGTCTACTTAAACATTTATACCCAGATAAACTATCACTGCGAGTGTGTGCGTCGGGTGAGCGGAGGGGATGTGGGTTGGAAGAACAGACATTTTTAAACATAAAAAGAAAAGTTAATTCTACCATTCGCAAATCTTAGTAAAAGAACATTCCAAAGATAAAGCATAAGGGAAAAAAGTAAACCTATTGGACAGAATGGGCCACAGGTTTCAACAGACGTCATTTAAAAAGTGGTAAAAACATGTTCAATAAATTCAACAGTGAGAAGAAATAAACCAGATGATTTAAAATATAAAAGCAAACCTCCAGATGACATCAGCAGGACAGAGAGTTATAGCACGTGTATAGGACCCGTGACTACAGAAGCTCGCTAAAGCCCACGATACACATCGAGCACGATACAAACACCTAATTATTTCACATTTTCTTTTTTGAAACACATGTTTCTGCTACTCATCTTTAATTCTCCTTTGAACTTTCATAAAGACCCTGTAAACTCCTCAGCATGGGAGAAGGATGGAGCTGTTGAATCCTACCGCCCTGCTGCTCTGGGGATGGTCCATAGACAGCAGAGCCCATTCCGTCAGCTTGAAGAACGCGGTGCTTCGCAGATAATGAGTTCCCTGGAGCCGAGAGCCCCTGGGGCCTGCGTATCAGCTCTCTGCAGGCCCTGTGACCAGCGGGGCTGGTGTGGCACCGACTGCTCTGCTCTGTGGTCAGCCTTCTCTGGAGTCGCCCCAGGGGGGCCTCACAGAGATTCAGTCACTGATATGAACCCAGCAGCCATGCAGAAACCGTATGTGGGCCTCTAGTCTCTGTCCTGACTGAGGGGACACAGCACCCTAGCATGACTACACGTCAGTCTCTATCTTTTCCATAGTGCTGTCATCACCTGCAAACAGGGATAGAGAAGGAACCTCCAAAACAGTCACTGGAAAATGTGAGATCAGAACACTGAGCACTAGTGTGTCAAAGGTACAACAACATTGACAGGTCAGTTTCCACAGACCACACCTGGCTCCACCTTCATCATATCAGACCTGATCTTAACAAACAGGACTTTGGAAGTCTCACTCAGGCCCACTCGGTACACAGGAATGCCAGGTGCCAGTGGGGTGCAGGAGTGGGCTAGCTAACTGTCCCGGATGGCTGAATACTCACAGCTTACCAGAGTAAGGGAACACACGGTGCCTTTCTCACACCTGCTTCTTCAGGAAAGCAAAACAACTGGTTCTCAACTCTACGAGGTCATCGACAGATAATAACCTCTATTAAATCTTTCATTTCTCTTAAGACATAATGACAGTTAACTAGATGTCAACTTGCTCGGAGGAAGGAATCTCTAGAGCACTGGAGGAACATTATTCTGGGGTGTGTTCCCCAGGGTTTTCCCAGAGGATGGTGGCGGAATCTCAGGCTGACCCCCACTGTGCACAGGCCTAGTGGAATAAGGGGAAAGGTGAACTGCTCTCTCTCCTAGAGTTGGGTGCTCTCTTCCTCTCCTACCCATGGAAGTCAGAAATCTAGGCTCTCCAGCCTCAGCCTCCAGGCCTACGCCAGCAGACCCACAAAGCCCCTGGACTGTACTGAGCAACCCTGACAGCAACCCAGGATCCCAGCTTGCAGACTGCGTGCTGTGGGACTTTTCAGCCTCCATAACCACACGAGCCAGTTCCCCAAAGAATCCCCCCCACCAGGTCTAATACAGTGGTACATAATGCTGTACAATCCCTTGGCTCTGTCTCTGCAGAGCCCTGATGGATCTGGAACATCCTCCCTAACCCTAACCCCACCTCTAACACAATTTCAGTGTGCTAATTCCACACATGTTCTGGAAACACTACAATATGTCAAGGTTCCCAGTCCAAGTGTGCTAATTCCACACATGTTCTGGAAACACTACAATATGTCAAGGTTCCCAGTCCAAAGTGTGAAAACACGATAGAGTAAGTATAATAAATATTGCGAGACTACCTTAAAGGTTGTAAGTATCACACAAACTCTAAAGATCCTCTGAATTGTAGTTCTTCTGGAATCTGCGTATACAGATTTACTTCCTATAAAATGTTTTTGCATGGTATTTCATTACATTTTAATAATTTTAAAATTATTTCAGCAAATGTCATATGCACGTGACTTAACAGTATACTTACGTGTTCTGGGATCCCTGGCTCACAGAAGAGACAGGATGAGAACCCAATCCTGGAGTAGGAATTCTTTCTGATGGCAAACTTGTCTAGAAGACAACCGATTAACTCGCATTACTTTTCTTACAGAGAGCACTCATCATGAGACCTTTTTTGCTGTTTTTGGGGGGGTTTTTTTTGGTACCAGGGATCAAACTCAGGACCTTGCGCTTGTGAGACAGGTGGCTGAACCACTGAGCTAGATCTCTGGCCTCATTTGCATTTTTTGATACTTAACAATTAAAATCAAACTTGTTATTGCAAGATAAATTATTTGGCTTAATGTCCTCTCACAAACTATTTCACAGATGAGCCACAAACAGAGGTTAGAACACCTAGGAAACCTCCGCCATTTCCCATCGCTGCTACACTACAGTCTCCAGTGTCCATAACAAAGCCACTTTCTCAGGAACTCGCTCAGACCTAACTTCCAAAAAGGCTCAGAACAGTGGGCACTGACAGAGGAGGTGTAAAGTCCTCCATGCTGGCTGAAGAAGCTCAGGCACCCTGAGTGCTGTGGCGCCAAAGTCATCTTTACCCCAGGAAAACTCTTCATCCAGAGCAGTGCTGCAGCCATGCCTGTGTCTGAAATAAAGGTTAGCAGGGAGGAGAGGTCGCTCTCCAGAACTCACCTTCCTCCACGCCTGTGCTACAGCCTTGTGCAAACCGTAAGGAAGCAGCGCCTGCAGCCCTTCACAGGTACCACACATCTGACAGCACACAGACACGAAAGCTCCCTGCACCGCAGGCAGCAGTGCCGACCCAGCAAAGACAGGAATCTCCTCGTCCAGAAGTTTCTTTGTAAACCGGGCAATTACGTGAGCACCTGTAGGACTAAAGGACGACACCACAGTCACACAATCCTGACCACAAAGCACCACTCAAAAGTCCAGCCTCGTAGGAAAGCCCTGTCTGCTTGGCCGCTGCAGGCCGGCTGGCGTCCCTGTGCCCAGGCAGGTGCATGTGTCCAACAGTGAGCAGTTTCGGCAGGAGGAGGGAAAGCACAGCGTGACAGAGAGGGAGACAGCGCCACACACACAGCCAGAGGTGCAGACGCCATGCAGCCAGGGCCATATGTAATTCCTGATTCCACAATGGAAACAGAATTCTGCATTCTCCGCCCTTCGCAGCGGAGACACATTTCCCAGGCCATGTGCAAGATGGCAATCTCAAAGGCCGAGACACTGTGACTAGGAATAACAGACACACAACAGGCTAACGTGCTTACAGTGTGCTGCGCACTCTTCTAATACACTGATTTCATCTTCCAGCAGATTGAGTGTTTCTGTTTTAACATTTAGATCTCTGATCCATTTTTATTTCAGTTCAGTACACCATGAGAGATAGGGTCTGGCTTTAATCTTTTGCCATGTAGACAGCCAGTTTTCCCAGCACTATTTATGAAGGAAGCTGTCTTTCCCCCACTGTATGTTTTTTACTCCTTTATCAAAGACCAGATAGCTGAGTGTGCCTGGGGATGTTTCTGCATCCTCTATTTTGTTCCACTGGTCCACGTGTCTGGTTTTTACCAATACAATGCTGTTTTTATCACTGTAGCTTTGTAGGATGGCTCGAAGTCTTGGATTCTGATGTCTTACTTTTTGCCCCAGTAGCTGCAGCTTGCTTTGGTTATTCTGGTTCTCTTCTGGTTCTGTATGAATTTTAGGATTATGTTCTCTAGATATGGGAGAAATCCTACTCACTTCTGATCAGGACCGCATTAAGCCTGTGTATCAGGTTTGAAAGTATGGCCATTTAGACTACTGGTTCTGCCTTCCAGAACAGGGGACATCCTTCCACTTTCTGACGCCCACTCCACGTTCTTCTTCCAGAGTACTACAGTATCACTGTAGAAGTCGTTCACTTCCTTGTTAGGTTAAATTCTGAGTATTTAATTTCTTGACGCTATTGTGTGTGGTACTGTTCTCCTAACTTCTTTCTCATGTTGGTGTACAAGAATGGTATTGATTTTTGTGTGTTAATTTTGTATCCTGCCACAGTAATGAATTTGAGTATTAATTCTGAGAGTCTGTTGGTAGAATTTTTTGGGTCTTCTATGTAGAGCATCATGTCATCTGCAAATAACGATAATTTGACTTCTTTTCCTATACAAAACCCTTTTATTTCTTCTTCTTGCCTGATTTCTCTGACTAAGGTTTCAAGAACTATATTGAATAGTAGTACTGACAGCAGACATCCTTGTCTTGTTCCTGATTTTCAGCTTTTCCCCATGTATTATAGAATTGGTCACTGGTTTGTCAGAAATTCCATTTATCACACTGAGGTACGGTCCTTCTTCAGGGTTTTATCACGAATAGATCTTGAATTTTGTCAAAGGCTTTTTTCTGCATCTATTGAGAAGATATGTGATTTTTGTCCTTGTTTCTGATTATTTGATGTACTACATTTATTGACTTGCATATGTTTAACAATGCTTATATCCCCATGATGAAGCTTACTTGGTATAATCTTTATAATGATTTGTCATATTCTGTTTGCCAGTATATTGTTGAAGATTTTTACAATTACACTGATTAAAGTGATTGGCCTGTAGTTCTCTTTTTTGGTTGGGTCCTTTTCTGGGTTTGGAATCAAGGTAATGCTACTTCTAGGAATTGCTCTGCGAGTACACTCCCCCCTGCTTTCAATTTCATTAAAGAATTTGAGGAATACTGGCGTTAGATCTTCCCTAAAATTCCTGTAGAATCTGGCAGTGAATTCATCAGAGCCTGAGCTTTCCTGGTAGTTTTGTTATTACTTCTTCAGTTTCACTGCCTGTCACTAGATTGCTAATGGTTTTATATGTTCTTGGTTCAGGTTTGGTGATCAATCCTATGTATTTAGGAACCTATCTGCTTCCTCTAATTCTCCAATTTGTTAAGAGTACAGATTCCTGAAGTACTAACAATCTTCTAGTCTTCAGTGGTGTCCATTATTATTTCTAATTGTCTTGATTTGGGTCTTTTCTTTCATTTTTTTGTTAAGATTGGCAAGGGGTTTGTCTATTGTGTTTATTCTTTCAGAGAACCAGCTCTTCAATTCATTAGTCCTTTTTATTTTTATTTAGTCCTATAAATCATAGATAGCAATTTGGAAAAATCTGACTTCATGAAAATTAGTATTTATATAAAAAGAAAAACCTATGTGGCTAGGTGATAGAAAGCAAAAGGAAATCTTAGATGAACTCATGACAAAGGGTTAGTCCTCCAATTTTAAAAAAGAATTGTTATGCAATAATAAAGATGTTCATTTAAATATAAACTTAAATATAAAGCTTCAGGTCCATCACATTTCCTCCCAGCCGTCTCTCTAGGATTGGGCTCTTCTGCCAGCCAAAAGGAAGAGGCTCCTCCATGGAATTTGACAGAATCAAGGTGCAACCATAGCTACTGATATCATAGATTCCAAAAAAATATGTCATGGAAAGGAGAGACAAGCCCCACCTTCTCATACAGTTTTCCAGCTGCATTTTACTCCATCTTAAACATTTAAAGAAATCTCTCATTAAAAGCAGAAACTGGTAGATTGAATGTGGTGAGGTAGAACCAGGCAGCATATCCATCACTCTGAGACCTGGTATCAACACAGCTAGAAAACAGCTACTTACTCAGTGAGGGACAAGAGGAGAACTACTTCAGGTTTCAAGAGAGACCCAACAGAAAAGCTAAAATCCACGCAGAAACAGAAAAGCCACACAGAGAAAAGAATGAATCGGTCCACGATGCATAACACAGCTCTGGAGGCAGGGAAACCTGACGACAAGCACGGGTGAGCCCAGGGAGGGCCACGGCTAAAGTGACACACAGTGGCTGGCAGCACAGTTACTACAGGCTGTAACCTCACCAAAACAAGGCAAGGTCCATAACCCACCAGTAATGGAACAAAAGGGAAGTGAATAAACTGCCTGACAAAGAAATCAAATGACCGATTCATAAAATGATTGGTGACTTTGAAGAAGAGACAAATGAAGAGCTGAATAAACTAAGAAAGACAATTCAGCATATGAAGAAGCAATTCAACAAAAAGAGAAAGAGAAAGATTCTAAAGAACCAAACAGACATCTTGGAAAACAAAAGCACAATAATACATCTAAAGTTCAGTGAAATATATGAAGGAGAAATAAAGACATTTCAAGATAAGCATAAACTAAAGGAATTCATGACCACTAGGCCAGCATGGCAGAAATACTTAAAGAAATCCTGCAAACGGAAGAGTAGATCAACTATTGAGAATTACAAAAGGTTCAAACATTTAAAAAAAAACAGGAATTAGTATATACCTTTCTAGATAATTCTAAAAGTAAATGGTCCTAATTCTTCAATCAAAAGACAAAGACTGGAAGATTATGTTGAAAAGCAAAATCCAATTCTTTGATGCCTATGAGAAATGTATTCCACTGGCAGAGACATACACAAACTGAAAAGTGAAAGAAGATGGAAAATAATATTTTGATAATGGATTTCAAAAGCAATTAGGAATAGCTATACTCATATAAGACAAAGCAAAACTTAGAAGAAACAAAGAAGACTACTAAATATTAATAAAAGGATCTTGCACCAAGAAGATATAACAATTATAAATACTATATATGCAACAAACACTGGTGGACACATTTACGCAAAATAAATACTAAAGGCACACACAGGGACCAATAGCACAACAGTGGAAGACTTCAATACCCACTCTAATCAATAGATGTCATCTGAACAAACACATCAAAATTAAGCTACTCCATGGATCCAACAGGCTTAAAACAGATGTCTACAGAACATCCCATCCCAAAACTACAGAATATATGTTATTCTCAGTAGCTCACCTGACATTCTCCAAAATAGATCAGATTATGGGCCATAAAGCGAGCCTTTAAAATTTTAAAAATAAATTAAAGAAAGGATGCCACGCATTTTGCCAGATTAAAATGAAATAAAATTAGAAATCAACAGAGAAGATAAAACTATGCAAACTTATGCAGATTGAGCAACACACTTCTGACTGATTAGTGGGTCATTTAAACAACTTGGAGGGAAATTTTTTTACAAAAATCTCTAGAATCAAATTAAAAGGGAAATACAAGATGCCAAAGTCTGGGGTAGAGCAAAGGCCATTCCAAAAGGGACATTTACAGTATAAGTGCCTACAACATCGAAATGTCAGGGAGATCCCAAATAAATAACCTGGTGATGTATCTCACGATCTTAAAAAAAATAAGAACAAACCAAAATCAAACTGAAGAGAAAGAAAGAAATAACAAAAATGAGAGCGCAAGTTAATGAGATGGAGGCTAAAAGAACAAAACACAGGATCAATGAAACAAAGAGTTTGTGCTTTTAAGACAAGATTGATAATTTCTTAGCCAGACTACCCAAAAGGAAGAAAAAGAGAACTCAAATCAATACAATTAGAGATGGAAAAGGTGATGGTACCACAGACACCTGAAAGCCAGAGGATAATTAAGGGCTATTTTGAAAACCTATATTCTAATTAATTTGGGAATCTAGAAGAAGTAGATAAATTTCTAGATACATCCAGCCTACCACAATTGAACCAAGAGGCCATAAAAATCCTAAGTAGATCAACAGCAAGTAATGAGACTGAAAAAGTAATGAAAATAATGAACAATGAAAAGCTCTTGACAAGATCTCTTCACTGCTGAATGTTACTAGACCATTAAAAAACTAACACCTATCTTCCTCACATTATTTCATGAAGGAGAAAGGAAGAAATGTTTCCAAACTACTTCTATGAGACCAACATCACTTCAATAACAAAATTGGACAAGGACTTGACAACAACAACAAAAAAGATAGAACAGAAAAGAAAACTATGGACTAATGTCCATGATGAAAATAGACACAAAACTCCTTAATAAAATACATAAAAATCTGATACAGCAGCACATTAAACATATGCAATGTCAAGGATGCAAGGATGTTTTAACATATGCAAGTCAACAACTATAATACATCACATAAATAGACTAGAGTACAAAAGAGCCACATGTCATCTCAACTGATGAAGAAAGCTGTCAACAAAAGTCAACATCCTTTCAAGTTAATAGTTTGAAGAAACTATATATTGAAAATATACTTCAAAATACTAATGACTACATGAGGCACAAAATCAGCAACAAAGCAAGGATAGCCAGTCTCACCTCTCCTGTTCATTACAGTATATGAAATTTTAACTAGAGCAATTAGTCAAGAGAAAAGCATAAAAAAGATACAAATATAGTAATGCTTTGGTTCATAGAAATGTTCAGCAAAATTTTCCTTCTGTTTGCAAACTATGCATTGAGTGACAAACACAACCACAGCCATCTTTTCCAATGCAAATACAAATGCAATCATATTCCTTCAAATCATAAAATAAATTAAGGTCATAAACTGAAGTACACCATAGAAAAGGAAGAAGTCGATTACGTTCTCTGCAGAAAATACGATCCTATACTTACAACACCCAAAAGGGCTAAGACTTTTAGAGTTGGTAAACAAATTAAGCGGCAGGTTATAAAAATCAATGTTAAAAAGTCAATGTCAGTATCTTTTTTATATACCAATAATGATCTA